GAAAACTCGTCCAGAGAAGCTGACAGGTCCTTACTTAGGGTGTTCCGCGTGATTTTTTTTGCTTTTTTCTTCCCCGGAAAGTCACTTAGTGACTATAGGTCTGTACCTAACGCCACTATCCACAAAAAGCCATCGCGGGATTCGTCTTTGACTGGGTTGTCTGCGCCTTTACCAACTGCGAGAACTCTTTATGACATAAAGGGAGAGACATGTGAACGTATAGTTTTATCTAGACACACTTCCTGAAAACAAATCTGTTGCAGGAATGCCGATATCACAAACTAGTTGACGCGACAGTATTTTTTCATTTCAGCTCTGCCACCGATTCCTGAATCTACCGTTTCGTCATCGTCCTCATCGGACTATAAAGGGGACGGCGACTAGGTAATGACTACATCAACGCCTGCCAGACCAGTAGGCGTGAGCGTTCCGTTAACTCTCATGGAATTTTGTAACCATCATTTCACTTCGTATGTTATAGTTCGAATAACTTCACTTATATCACACAATTAATACTGGAGCTATATGATGCACACATACTAGTCATTCGATTCGCAGCCCAAATATTGTGAAGTATTCCTTCCGATGATCTCTTCCGCTTACTTTCCAAATAATCGTGTGAGCTTATATGTGTCAATCCAACTGTTGTGTAGGATCGCTTGTGTTTTGCCGCTCGCGATATTGTACGACTTTCACTGTAACTGATTTCGCCCTTCGGGTTGATAATTGCGGCCTTAGATTTTATTTAACGGGTCCATCTTCACAGAAATTTTTTTGTCGGTGCGATTGAAATAAATCTTTTTGGAATGGGCTTCATGTCCGAAATGATACAGATAACAACGTTGCTCTTCAAGATAATCTGAAGAACGCAAGATTCGGGTCACTGGTTCAAAATTATCGCGTACACTCATCAAAGATGAACTGTGCACTCAACTCTGAGGACCAGGAGAGTTCAATGGGTCCTCAGCTGGTGAAGTGTGCCACTTTCTCCGCTGAGAAATGGGCGGGAAGTAGGCTGAACGGCGGTGATACCTTTCATACTCCGCCCGGGATTCACTCTCCTTCAGCCCTGTTTCCATGCACTTACGACCGAAGACAAGGGGACGCTAGTGCAGCAGCAGACCCATTCACCTCACTGCGGCGCGACCACGATCCACGAAGGAAGTGTACAATTGGCGTAAAAACCTAGTTAAGTGGGCCCAGGCGGCTAATTGGAAAACGACACCGCTTAGCACGTACTTGGTTCGTGTGTCGAACCTTAGATCACCTCTCGTATGAGCTCATGTGGCTGTACATCATGGTGCAGCTAAAAAACATATAATGGAGGATGAAACACTGACTTGCTTACTTTGTTTGCACTGCTTCTCGACGTGTATATCGTTGTGATGATTGAGGTTTTTTTGATGAAACGCCTTATTCTGCGCTCTGAGCTTTTAAACCTATAGTCTTTTTGAGGGCTGGACACGTTTCGAGTTCAAAATGTGAGCACTAGCTCACCGAGCGCCAAGTAAACCCTGGCAGTTCCGACAATGCGTTCGCAACTCAACAGAAAATCCTACGTAACATAGAAAGTGCATTCCCTGGAGTTGCATCGAGAATCCGCTGTACTAACGAGGCAAAAAGCCTTGGTATGAGAGGCAAAAAGCAGTATATTTACCTATACCTGAAACAATTAGAAACAAAGAAAAACAAACATTGGGGAAAGGAATGCACTCCAAACCACAGATGATCCGTTTCGATCGTTATCGTAGGGTTGACGACATGGACATGGAAATGGACTACAAGGGGAAGGAGTTAAGAAATAGGATAAAAACGAGAAAAAAATGTATGGCTGGCGGGAAAGTTCTGTCACTCTTTTCCGAACTCAAATTACTTGCCCATTACCAAGAGTGGTAACCGGTAATGTAAGCTCTTATACGAGTGGTCTCTCGTATAAGAGCTTACATTACCGCGGTCTGTTAGTACCACTCGCTTGCCTCTTGCTCCTTCTTCTGCAATATGCACAAGGATTTTATCCGCTACCATCAGCCCCGACCCATCCAACAACTTCCACAAACTATTTCACCCACCACCCTGACGCCAGCGTGTTAGCTGCAGATGCCAAATTGATGGAGCTGAATAAGCACGATGCCCCCAATCATCGAGCAACCTTACCACGACAGTGACGCTTCAAGGCGGGAGCCTAGGGAGCCTACAGTTTTGATGACGAAGTGAGGTTTGGGTTACCTGCAACCTCAGCTTGAGGGAGCTATGGGTCGGGAAACTGCTGGATGAAGAAGCTGTCTCCTTGGTCAAGGCGTTGTGTAGCACAGACATCGCCCCTTCTAATAGCAAGTTGCCTTCCGTAATCGATCGTTATGCGGACGAGAAAACCTCCATAACCCAAGTTCAAGTCGAGGTTGAGATGGTGTCCAACTTTGCGTCGTGTCTCCCTGCATAGTGAAGCAATGGCATCCATGAGGTGCTCAAACACTGGCAAGGACCCCGCAGTAACATTGCTGTACAATTTTGATCTTACACTCCTCTCTATAAAAAGAAAGCCTAGTTTGAAAAAATGTGACAGAACTTTCCCGCCAACCTAATAAAAAATGTTGACGTGCAAAATTCATGCAATAAAGATGAGAAGGAATTGTACACGAAAAATGAGAGAAGGATATAACAGGTGTGAGTACTAAATACGTGTAAGAGGAAGAAAAATGGATTGTTGTAGATGGGTTAAACCAACTAAGGGAATATTGAGTAAAAGACATTGCTGCAGCGGATTACAAAAAGCTAAATCAAAATTGTAGCTCATTGGCTAATTTGCCAGGATATCTCGGTAAGTGCCTCGTATGGGGGGAGTCCGTGCGGGTTACATCTCTGTAGGCTTATATTCTGCATAAAACAAGCTAAATAATTTCAGGCCTGAAGAAGGTGCTACGCACCGAAATATAGCCAGATAAGATATATTTTAAAAAACTTTTGAGACTTTTGCTGTCTTTTGAGTTTTTTGGAATAAACTTTTGGAGTTTCACATTGTTAATACACATTCAGATGAGTAATGAGACTCCGGGACAGCACCATACTCCAAAATTGTAGTGGTAAAAGGAGAACTAGTGTTGAACACCGCTGCCAATGAGAATACCTCTAACCAGTCTACTTATCTTTCTATAGTTATTTGCAATAGAGTATTTGTAACTTATAAATTTATTTTTGTAAATACATTTCACAATGCTAGTAATAATAAAATCTTCTTCGTAGCCATTTTTCGAAAGAGTAGTGACCATATCCGTTATTTTGCTTACGAATATATCGAAGAACGAACAAGTGTTTGCTAACCTCAACGTTTCCGTATATATAACAGAGGCTTTGTTAATAAGGGAAATGTTTGTGTCACTATACGGAAATCTAATTACACTTGAAGTTAAAATCATCGGTTAAAATCATCAATCACGATATTTGAAGAGAGTGGAGAATTCCGGAGTTTCTTTTGACACGAGGGTCACCCTGGGGTGCCATGTACCGAGGTAAATAAGCCCGCAGCTGCAGTAGCGCTCCACTTACCATGCTCACAAAAGCGCTGGAACGCGGCCTGTATAGTTGGGAAATGGCGAAACCACGGAGTGATACGGTAAAAATTTCGCGAAGACGAGTTCTCCGTTCTTGACGACTCAAGAATTAGTTTTAGACGAATTTCCCGTAGGAATCTTACCAATAACCGCAATCCCTTCGCTTCATTATACTGAGCAAATGAAGCAATACGAGCATCAGGAACGGTCGTCCATTTGTGGGCGGGCGGGCGTGGTGGGCGTTCGGGTCGGTATGTTGTGGGCTTGAATGCCCTTATAATGGTATCTTCCTTGCGAAAGGCGCTATGCAGCGCATGCTGAGGATCGCAAAATTCCGTCCTATCAGCCTTATTAATCCTACTCCTCTTGAGGATTTTCGTGCCAACTGCCTTTAATTCACCTAAACAGGGTATTAAATGGCACGAGAAGTGATCAAGAACAAGTTCTCAGCAAGAACTACTCGAGGCCCTTAAGGGATTTTGTTTGCCTCATCCTAAAGCTTCGAAAGTTCGAAAAGACCCCATACTGTGAGGGCGTAATGGCATTTGCTTGGATCAGTTCCTCGCGTTCACATAAAGACCGACTGCCCCTCTCCGGGTATGCTACGCACTCTATGTCTTCACTTTTTCAGCTATATGCCACTAGCTTCTAGAGCGTTGATTTAACAGGATCAGACCATTATGAAACGGTTCATTGCTTCGACAAGGTTGCGGCGCGTATGGGAAGCGGAGCTCCAACAAGGGTTGCGAAAGTTGTAGAGCCTGCTTCACCAGGTTGTTGGAGCTACACTTCCCATGTTTCCACGCAAATAAACATGGTTTGGTAGGTTAACTATGGTGCGATCGCACCTCCTTAAAGGCAGTTGGCAC